TTTTTCCCAACAATCAGCAATGGATTCATTGCTCTCAATTAGACTCTTAATTCCGGATTTTTAAAAAATATTAAATTGAAACTCCACCACAGAGGAATTTGCACCTGGGTCCTCAGAATGTTATCTGGATCTCTAGATTAACAGTTCAGTGATAATACCACTAGGCCATCAGCTCCCCTTGGAGTGATATCAATTGTCTTTGAAATGTGAATCAGAGATAGTAGGAACTGCAGATGCTGGAGAATCCGAGACAACAAGGTGCAGAGCTGGATGAACACAGCAGGCCAAGCAGCATCATAGGAGCAGAAAGGCTGACGTTTCGGGCCTAGACCCTTCATCAGAAAAGGGGGAGGGGAAGGGGGTTCTGAAATAAATAGGGAGAGAGTGGGATGCGGATAGAAGATGGATAGAGGAGAGGATAGGTGGAGAGGAAACAAACAGGTCGAAGAGACGGGGATGGAGATGTTCACCTGCACATCTGCCAATGTGGTATACTGCATCTGCTGTACCCATTGCAGCCTTGTCTACATCGGGGAAACCAAGCGGAGGCTCGGGGACCGCTTTGCAGAACACCTACGCTCGGTTCGCAATAAACAACTGCACCTCCCAGTCGCGAACCATTTCAACTCCCCCTCCCATTCCTCAGACGACATGTCCATCCTGGGCCTCCTGCAGTGCCACAACGATGCCACCCGAAGGTTGCAGGAACAGCAACTCATATTCCGCTTGGGAACCCTGCAGCCCAATGGTATCAATGTGGATTTCACAAGTTTCAAAATCTCCCCTCCCCCTACCGCATCCCAAAACCAGTCCAGCTCGTCCCCGCCTCCCTAACCTGTTCTTCCTCCCACCTATCCCCTCCTCCCACCTCAAGCTGCACCCCCATCTCCTACCTACTAACCTCATCCCGCCCCCTTGACCTGTCCGTCCTCCCTGGACTGACCTATCCCCTCCCTACCTCCCCACCTGCACTCACCTTTACTGGCTCCATCCCCACCTCTTCGACCTGTTTGTTTCCTCTCCACCTATCCTCTCCTCTATCCATCTTCTAACCGCCTCCCACTCTCTCCCTATTTATTTCAGAACCCCCTTCCCCTCCGCCTTTTCTGATGAAGGGTCTAGGCCCGAAACGTCAGCCTTTCTGCTCCTATGATGCTGCTTGGCCTGCTGTGTTCATCCAGCTCTGCACCTTGTTGTCTTTGAAATGTGTTTTGTGATCTTTGTCCTCTATTTTTATGAGAATTGTGGTGGAACTAGACAACTCCTATTCAGTGACAGTACTCTTATGAGTGACTTGGACATAGGGTGCAGTAGATTTTTTTCTGTGAACTGTTTTACAGCTGCATACAACACAAGTAAGCAACATGCCAGCTCCATGCTACTGTCCTCTGTCCAGCCCCTATGGTTACGTCATCATTTTTACCCACAGCCACATTAGCATTATTAGCCTTGGTCCAAACATAGATAAAGAGCTGAAGTGAGAGTGACTGCCATTGATATCAAGGCTGCATCTGACCAAGTGTAGGATCAAGAAGACTGAGCAAAACTGAAGTCAATGGAAATTAAGGGAAAATCTCTCTGCTGGTTGGAATCATATCTAGCACAATGGAAGCTGATTGTGTTTGTTGGAGGTCAGTCATCTCAACTCCAGGACATCTCTGCAGAAGTTCCTCAGGGTAGTGTCTGAGGCCTAACCATCTTCAGCTGCTTCATCAATGATCTTCCCTCCATCATAAAATCAAATCTGGGGATGATTGCACATATCCATATCCAAGTGCAGCAAGACTTGGGCAATACCTAGGCTGCTCACGATGTGGTCTTCTCTACACTGGGGAGGCAAAACACAGACTGGGCAATCACTTTATGAACCCTGAGTTTCTGTTCGCAGGAATGACCCCTTGCTTCCAGTTGCCGGCCGCATCAACACACCACTGTGTTACCCAGTCAACATTTCTACCTTGGGCTTGCTGCAATGCTCCAACAAGGCTCAGTACAAGCTGGAAGGACAGCATCTTATTTTCCACCTGGGGGCCCTGCAACCTTCAGGACTCCAATATCAAATTCAATCATTTTAGGGCCTGAATACCTTCTTCCATGTCCTTTACCCACCCCGCATTCCAGACCCTGTCATCACATGGGCTGCTTTCAGCATGGCCAACCCATTTTCATCTATTTATGGCCTGTCTTAGCAGCTCTTTTTTGTCCCTAGCTTACCATTATCCATCCCTCTGTCTGTCTTTCTCTCCCTCTGGGTTCCATCTCTATCTATTCACTTACTCCTTTAACATCTCCCCCACCACCTCCCCACCCACCATCTCCAGCATATATACCATTTCTTCCTCGCTACTATCAGTTCTGAAGAAGGACAACTGGACCCAAAATGTTAACTCTGCTTTCTCTGCACAAATGCTGCCTGACCTGCTGAGTTTCTCCAGCAATTTCAGTTTGTGTTGGACAATATCCAGGTTTGAGCTGAAAAGGGGCAAGTAATATTTGCACCGTACAAATGTCAGGCAATGACTATCTCCAATAAGAGGTAATCTAACCACCGTCCCTTGATATTCATTGGTGTTACCACCACTGAATCCCCCACTATCAATATCCTGGGGTGTTACCATTGACCAGGAATTCAACTGGATGCACCATATAAATACAGTGGCTCCAAGAGCAGATCAGAGGCTAGAAATGTTGCAGTGAGTAAGTTAACTCCTCATTTCCCAAAGCATGACCACCATCTACAAGGCACAATTCAGGAGTGTGATGGAGTACATCCATTTGCCTGGATGACAGCAGCTCCAACAACACTCAGGAAACTTGACACCATTCAGGGCAAAGCAGCCTGCTTGATTGACACATCCACAAACATTCACTCCCTTCACCATCAACTCACAGTAACCTCAGTGTGTACCATCTACAAGGTGCACTGCAGAAATTCTCCAAGACTCCTTAGACAGTACCTTCCAAACACACAGTCACTTCCATCTAGAAGGAGAAGGGCAGCAGATGTATGGGAACACCACCACTTGTATGTTCCCCTCCAAGCCACTCACCATCTTGACTAGGAAATATATCGACGCTCCTTCACTGTCGCTGGGTCAAAACCCTCAAATTCTCTCCCTAAAGTCATTGTGGTCAACTACAACATATGGACTGTGGAGGTTCAAGAATGCAGCTCACCACCACCTTCTCAAAGGACAACAAGGGATGGGGAATAAATGCTGATGCAGCCATGATCCAACAAATGAATTAAAAAAAACATTCAGGCAAACCTCAGCATTTCCTCAAGTGTAATCTAAAATAAATTATTCAACTGCTATTAAACTGATAATTGTTTGTTAGCACAGAACTTGAGTATCATTAAAAAACACACATTTTGTTGAATCTTGCATTCTTCAGGACAATTCACAAGAATAAAAATGCAAAGTGAAACATTGTTTACACAATACGAGTAAAAAACTGCTGATTGATTGGCATGTGGGCTCTGATTGAAAGAGAAGTTGTAAAGCACTAACTGCTGCTTTTTCCATTGCAATGCATCTACCAATTCAAGTCCACTTACAGCACAGGAGGTGACCATCTTGTCCCTTGTATTTGGCCCATTGTGTCCACATAGGTCCTCAATGATCAGACTACACCAATCCCATCTTCCAGCTCTTAGCCCATAGCCTTTGGTAACGCAAATGAATAATGCAATAATGCAAATCCACTTGTGAACCAATAAGCACACGCTTCTAGTGAGTCCAAGCTGAAAAATTTTGATAAAATGCATCTTTTCTCAGCAGCAATATAAGCTATTTATTTTTCCCACCAAAAAAAAGTTGAATAGACGATATACAAATTATAAAAAGTGCCAATAATTCTATTTTATAACATCACTTCAATTATGAACTCTAATAGTAGTCCTTAATATATTGCAACATTCCAATGCCACTAGACAATCTTGCACTTAATTCAAGCAAATAATTTTTTTTTAAACAAAGTAACAACTTTCATAACTAATGTAACAAAGTGATATATTAAGAGATAACAAGGTGTTGAGGACCTATGTGGACACAATGGGCCAAATACAAGGGACAAGATG